GCATCAATATGGCTTTCGGAAAAATCACTCCACAACTTATCTGATGTACGATCTGATGGACGAAATATATATGAGTAAATCTAAGTCTTATAAACCAGGAATCATCTTTCTTGATCTTAAGAAGGCCTTTGACACAGTGAATCATGAAATATTGCTTCAAAAATTGGCATATTATGGAATTGGTGGCATTGCTTTAACCTGGTTTAAGAACTTCTTATCTTGTAGATATCAATGCACTAGGATCAATGGCAATCTAAGCTCATTTTTAGAAGTTCTGAGTGGTGTACCACAAGGAAGCATCATTGGGCCTATATTATTTAGTATCTTCATAAATGACATCATTTATGCCTGTAACCTATCTAAGCCCTTTCTATTTGCAGATGATGGTGCACTATTCTTTGATCAAACCTGCAGAAGCACATTTATAAACATGAAAATAGAACTTATGACAATCTTTAAATGGCTCAGTGTTAATAAATTATCACTCAATGAAAAGAAGACTGAATTTCTATTGTTTGATTCTGTTGACCAACATGATGAAATAACCATTGATTGTAATGAGGTAACTTTCACAATCAAGGAGTGCAAAGAGACAAAATATCTTGGCCTCATTCTAGATAGTAAATTAAACTTCAAAAGCCATGTAGATTATATTATTAGGAAGGTCATGAAGAGAATTGGTGCCATGTATAGAAGTAAAGCACTGCTACCCATTAAATATAGGAAAATGTTTGCCAATGCACTCATGTTGCCACAATTCGATTATTTAGACACGATCTATTGTAGAGCTGGCAAAACAAAACTTGCTGAACTTGACACTCTGTACAAAAAGGTAGCCAAAATAGCTCTCAACGTTCCAAAAACAGAGAGCAGCCTTAATGTTTATAGAGACATGAAATGGTTACCACTCCATCTTAGACGACAACTCCATCTGTCAAATTATATGTTTAGAATCATCCATGACAATTGTCCTACAAACTTTATGAACAAATTTAGTTACATGGGCAATTCTCATAAAAAGCGTCACAAATCACTAATAGAAATTTTTTCCTCCAATTTCTATAAAAGTTATATCATGCGTTAGCTTATAAAGATCTCTATTGGACATCATTGTAGTGTCAGCAGTTTGCAGACTTTTTAGCTGCTAAATTGACCAATCAGTGTTTAAATTGGGTGTCCGTCCGTGACGTTTTTGTCACGTCCGTGACGGGTTACGGACAGGACAAAATAAGAATTGTCACGTCCGTGACTGGTCACGGACAGGACAAAATAAGAATAGTCACGTCCGTGACTTGTCACGGACAGGACAGAATAAGAATAGTCACGTCCGTAAAACATCACGGACAGGACAATTCTTATTTTGTCCCGTCTGTATGCACTTTTAGAGTAGCTGAAATCTAAATTTTGGCAACCTTGAACACCATTCACCTCCCTCCTACATTCCACAAATGAGTGTTATAGTTGTACCATTGTACAAATTGATGGGATAATTCCACTTCCTATCCGGTTACATTCCATGTTTCTATGTTTTGTTCCTCGATTAAGCTTTTTGCACTTTTGTACCATGGATATTGTGTTATCATAGCACTTTGTGACTTGCCACTTTAGGGGTTCTGAATCTTGTGTGAGTGATAAGTCGTAAATCGTGATTGATAGGTCGTAAATTGTGAGTGATAGGTCGTAAATTGTGAGTGATAGGTCGTAAATTGTGAGTGATAGGTCGTAAATTGTGAGTGATAGGTCGCAAAATGTGAGTGATAGGTCGTAAATTGTGAGTGATAGGTCGTAAATTGTGAGTGATAGGTCGGGATACTACTCACTAATGTGGTAATGAAAGGATGTAACTTATTAGAACAACTTACCTGGTTCAGTTTACGGTTCTGGGCTTACAACACCTTCAGCTGAGGTATTTCTTATACTTATGCTAATTATACCTAAAAATCCATTATCGTGTTACCTAATAATCGACGAGAATGCATGAAAATGTTGATAAATCTTCAGTTAATTTGTATTCCCAAATGATTATTGAGGTTTTAGTATACCTGATAGAATCAATTGGAACACTCTAATTGAGGTATCAAGGAAGTTCTAATGCTTGAATTCAATTAGAAACTCTAAAAAAAGTGTCACAGACACGACAAAATAAGCCATAGTCACGTCCGTGATGCATCACAGACGTGACAGAATAAGACATTGTCACGTCCGTGACTCATTTTCAGGCGTCACGGACGCGTCACGGACGTCACGGACGTCACGGACGTGACGACACCTTTAATTATTCTCCACAAATAATTTAATTGCAACAACATTTTAGGTACAAATTAATTCATATTTGTCACATAGATAAATTGGCCAAGGAGGAATATGTTAGTTCTTGTCCCATTGAAATTGGACCATAAATAACGGTACTACATAGGATAGAATCAGGCGTCACGGACAGGACAAAGTGCTGACACCTCTGAAAAAAGCCTGTTTTTTTATTAATTATTTAAATTGATAATCAGTTTTTAAGTTATTCATGTTAAAAGTGATGACACAGTAAATTTCAAACGTTTATCAATCAATTGGTGCTTGAATCAACGTTTTGTTATTTACTGAAATGAAATGATATGAGATTGAAAATTCGAGGGAGTAAATGACGCTTTTTATGAGAATTGCCCACATATCAGGAGGTAGTAGGAGCGGCGAAAGCTGCAACCTTTATGTCAATAGATCAACATCACATAAAAACTTTCAATACTTGGGGGCAAAATGTTGGAATAATGTTCCAACAGATCTACGAAATCTGCCCGATGTTAAAAGCTTTAGTGATTCGTATAAGAAACAGCTACTATCATCTATAACAACAGACCCTAATTATACCGTCGACAATTCATATGAAAAATTTTACACTGCAATCATAGTCGACGATAACTAAGTAACTTCTAATTCTTTTAAATCTGTGGCATATATAATTGATGTATCGAAAAGATATTCCCTTTTTTACCACCTTACCATTCTGATTGATTTTGCACATGACTGACATGTTTTAACTGGAGAAGGGGTTCCCACAGTGGTAGTTTTATAAACCACTTTTAATTTATTGACCTATTACACTTAGTGGTAGTTTTATAGACCACATTTAATTTATTAACTTATCATACTTAGTATTTATTTTTGGTGACTGTATCACCCAGTTTTAACATTTGATAATTGTACAGTTTATTGACGACACATTGACTGAATGTTATTTTATATTCTAATCTATATTCTAGATATTTTATTTATTTTACAACAGACGACAACTTCCTGTTTTTTCTTCTATATTAGTTACTCATATCTCTTGTACAGACTTTTACAAGGACATTGACAAATGATACTCACATTAGGCATTCATTATTGCATCTAAATTATTTCACTTGCATTAGGCTTAGAAATTTATTCTCTGGTCAACAGATTTCAAATGTTTAATTAATTTGTAGTATGACAGTAAGGTATATAAGAAGTTATTTAATTTTGCTTGGGCTATTATATTGACTAGGTATTGAGGTTTAATGATGATACGGAATTTGAATTCTATATAAATTTACACTATGTGGTTGGGGCATTTTGCATAGTAAATATGGTTACTACTCATATATATCATATTATTTGATTGGTATTCGATTTCTGATTATTTCTTAGGAATATGATTATTATATCTCAATTTGGCTTTAGGTAGGGTGCCCCGCTAAAAGAACTGGATTCTTCCAGGAAGCATCCCGTGCACAGACCTTGGTCTACATATATATTAAATTATTAACCATTCATTCTGTATGTGCACGAAAATTTATTTCAATCAATCACTAAATCACATCTCGCAAGTTACTAATTCTTTGCACTATATATGTTACGTCACTATAGCATATGTCATTCATATTGTACGTTATAACTTATATAAGATAAAAATAAACATTTTATAATTGTTTCAATGTTCAACACTGCTAAAAAACAAATACCTACTTGCCCATCGATTAAGCAGTCGCCAAAACAAGGCTCAAAGTTAATTTACCTTCACACCTCGTTTTGGAGACTGAAGGATGTCAATAAATAAATAATGGATAACTTTAATACTGAATGTGATGGATAATCAGTAATATCAATAAAATCCACAATCACTAATCATGTTTTCGATGGGCAAGCACTCGCAACTGGATGCTGAAACAAACGGCGCAAGTCTTGCACCGTTCATGCAGCATACGTCGCGAGATATCATGAGCTCCGCTAACTCTGCGATTCTAACGGATGAATTAGGCTACCCCGACAGAAACACAGGTAACAGGGGGTTGTGGAAGGACACGAACACTGTTCGTTAACTCGTACCCCGGGTACCCCCTATATAGATCTATGTCCCGCCGGAGAGAGCCCACCACCAGTCATATCGAAAGCAGCTTTTAATTCTGCATTATAAATATCGCGTCGTCATAATAAATAATATACATTACCACTACACACTTGTCACTACACACTTTTATGCACAGTACAACTAAAATATTAACAAGAGACAGAAGAGTTTTACATCGGCTCAGCACCGCAAGGACGTTGGCTATACACGTGGTTCATAAATTAGTTTGATTTGGGTACGGTTCGACCGGGAAAGTGGTCGGGGTTGTTGTAGCGTGAGCGTAGAAATAAAACAAGCTGTTAACACGTAATCATAGAGGCTGGGGAAGAACAAATCGTTAATAACAAATTATGATAGCAATCAATGTTCAATATATATAACAATCTCCCTTCGGCAAGTTATAGCTAGTCGGCCGATACAACTAGCTGCGCTCGCGTTTAACACGAGGAGCTAGGCGCGCGCGCAAAATTGAGGTCAGGAGGACTGTCACTTTTTAGCGCTGACTAGCTTAACGTCGCCGCGCGTTCCATACATCTGGAACAACTTTTGTGACCAAACTGGTCTTTAACTTTAACTGTCAGAAAACAGACATAAAAAATACTTTCTCCCCACAGGTCGGGACAAAATTAGCACCATTTTGCTTCTTAAACGTTAAAAACTTGTAACTTATATTTCCATAAAATTGGATTAGCCACGTTCTCTGTCGAATTATTAAAATACATAAGTTAAATCAGGAAATCTGTAAAATTTAAAATAATGAGTGACTCTAAAAATGTGATAAAAACAGCGGTTTGACAAATATTACAACATACGGGTTTACAATGATTTCAGTTCGTGATTACTCATTCTAACTCATGGTTTTCATTTTAGTGATAGCATCACTCTTAGCACTTCTGGTTGGTCTCAAACGCGGTTCAGGTAAGGGTGCACCACCTGTAGCTGTAGGTTTGGACAACTCAGACACCCGGACTTGCTTGTCGTTGGTTTTCAGGGGGGAAGCAACTTTCGGTTGAGGACGCTCAGTCACTTTAGACGGTGAGGTATCCCTGACTGGGGACGCTGGTTTCGCCACAGCCTCAAGTCTGTTGCCGTTCGGAACTCCTAGGTTTAGTGCATTCATTCTCCGTCTTTCCCTTGTTTCATGCAGCTTCTGGAACTTAATGTCAGAGCGAGCTATCTCTCTGGTTAACAGCGTTTTTTGCGGACTAGTGATTGCTTTTCGTTCCATCCTTATAACGGGGGTGTGTCGTGGTTTTATTGCGTCAGCGTGTTTCTTTACAATCCTGTCTCCGTGTTGGACCACGTAATTGTTCGAATTATCACCGAGTCTTTTGATTACTCTAGCTTGCTCCCAGTGGCTTTTGTCGTCCATTTTGGCGAAAATGAGCTGATTTTCCCGGAACTCTCGAGTTCTGGGGTGTTCGTTAATTGCAACTTGCAGTTTCTCAGATTGCAATTCCTGCTCCCTCATCCGATCGGTTGGTTTGATTTGGTGTAGTTTAGATCGCAGAGTTCTGTTGAACGCTAACACAGCTGGTGTTTGACCAGTAGACGAATGGGGTGTGTTGCGGTAAGTTAGCAGAAAATCGTTCAGATTCTTGCACACGTCCTTACTGGTTACAGACATCTTTTTCAGGGCGGATTTAAACGACTGAACAAGTCGTTCGCAGATTCCGTTTGATTTGGGAGAATACGTCGGAACAGTCACGTGCTTTATACCACAGGATTTCAGATATCCCTCAGTTTCATCCGACACGAACTGTGGTCCGTTATCCGTTACCAGACAGATTGGGATACCTGTACGAGAGAATATGGATCTAAAAGCACGTATTGTAGCACTAGATGTTGTATTTGTGTTCATTTGAACAACTTCAGGCCACTTGCTGTAAGAGTCTACTAATAATAGCCACATGCTGCCCAGGAATGGGCCCGCAAAGTCAGCGTGTACTCTTTGGAAAGGTGCACTGGTTTTAGCCCAGGGGTGGTCAACGACTTTAGTCATGTTCTTACCATACTTGGCGCATGTCTCACACGTCCGAGCAGTATCCTCGATTTGTGTGTCAAGATGTGGCCAGTAAACGTAAGATCTGGCCAAGGATTTCATACCTGTTACTCCAATGTGAGTGGCGTGCAGAATATCCATTACAGTGCTTCTCAGTTTAGCGGGAATCACGACACGGGCTCCCCAAGTTAAACACCCAAGTTCATGGCTCAACTCGTCTCTTCTAGTCCAGAAAGCTTTGAGATCACCGTCACATTTCAGATTCTTCGGCCAACCATTCAGAGTGTATTCCAAAACTCTGCTCAGAATCGGGTCCTTACGAGTGTCGTTCGCCACTAACTCAGCATTGAGTAAAGTCTCGCTCATAGTCAGTGCGAACATATCACCAAACTCGTCTCTCTCCCTCACAGGGTGTGTTACCGATTTTGGCAGCCTGGATAACATATCAGCGTTAGCATGATCCTTGGTATTACGATATTGAATGTCATACTGGTAATTCATAAGGAATAAAGCCCACCTAGTTAAGGCCAGAGGGGGGGGTAAGGGGTCAAAAAATTCTACCAAAATATTATTTTCTAAATCGATTTAATTTTTGATGACAAAAACATTGCTGCTATTCACATATTTGTAGCTGATTAACTTTATTTTATAATTGAGGTTAACCGATTTTCACAAAATTGACTATACAACATTGAGGTTAATAAAATTGAGGTTCAGATTTTATTACACGCCATAATTTTTTGTTATTTCGGTCAGCAAATGTAAACTCTAAATTTTAGGTTCATAATTATCAGAAAAAGTAATATCCAAACGTGATTAAATGAGGTTAACCTCTTCTTTTAGATATAGCGAGAATAGATCAAATGATAGAGTTATTATTTTCATCGTAAGTTTACGGTATACACATTTCTAAATAGATGATGTGTTGATTGACTTTTTTTTTATCTTGAGAAAATGAAAAAAATGAGGTTAACCATCACATTTTGGTACCGTAGGGAATATACATGTGATTCTTACTTATGTACTGTACCATAATATCGAAGTGAGGTATCTATTGGTATCACAATGCCTACAACTATAATCACGTGACAAAGGTGATTTGAACTGACCATATTTTAGTAGAAGATTTTACCCGTAAATGGCTAAAAAATGAGGTTAACCTCTCATTTTTTGAATATCTGACCAGTCAATTACATGTTAACCTCAAAAACTTAATCGTTATACTGTGCAAATGGTTTACTACATATATAATAACATATTGATAAACCAATCCCAGTGTTATATGGTCTAAAGCGAGGTTAACAACCAAATTTTAAGCAGTTAGTGTTTACAGGAAGTCTTGGTTAACCTCATTTTTTACAATACAAGGACATTAACTACTGAAAGTGGCTAAAATCATTTAGGGGACGGCCAGGTCTGATCAAGCAAACGTTATTAAGTGTATAAAAAGTCCTAACTAACGAACTGTGATACATTCCAGTGAATATTCAAAATTTTGAAAACACTAAATTGCATCTATCTCAAAACACATTTTTTGACCTTTCGATTCCTTAGTTGAGAAAACCAGCCACCCCCTGATTTTGAGATTTGGTACAGTGGTTCCTTGGACAACTATCTAGATATCTGGTGCAGCGATTTTTTTTATTTGACTCAGTTCTCGAATTATGAGGTTAACCAATTAAATTTTTCGAATTTTTGACCTGGTTAACCTCATAATTTGAGAACAGAGTCAAATAAAAAAAATCGCTGCACCAGATGTGAGGATAATTGTCCAAGGAACCACTGTACCAAACCTCAAGATCAGGGATTGGCCGGTTTTCTCAACTAAGGAATCGAAAGGTCAAAAAAGTTACAGCCGTTTAAAGTTCCATTTTAACATGTAATTACAGGTAAACCTCAAAATTGAGCGCGCGATATCTCAGAAGCGCAAGGTCAGATTTTGATCCGGTTTTTTTCTTTTTGTTCGTCTCCGGTAGCTATTATCAAATATGCAAAAACTACAAAAGTGCCATTTACCCCCCCCTCTGGCCTTAACCTACCGGCAGTCATCTCTGGAATTGGCTTATCGCCAAATATACGAACCAGCGCACGATGATCTGTCACCAAGGTAAACTGTCTCATATACAAGTAAATATGTAGGCGCTTTATGGCCCACACTATGGCCAGGGCCTCTTTGTCCACTTGAGCGTAATTCCTCTCGGCCGGTGACAGGGTCCGGGAGATGAACTCAATGGGGCGCTCATCCCCATTCAGCATAATGTGAGACAACACTGCGCCAATGCCACCGATTGAAGCATCAGTGTCCAGTTTAAGAGGAAGCTTGGGATTGTAAAAGGTCAATACACGGTTAGAAGCCAGCAGATTTTTCAATATTTTAAACGCTGTCTTTTCGGTATTTGTCCACACCCACTTTACATTCTTAGCTCTCAGCCTTTCAATTGGAGCAATCACAGACGACAAGTTGGGCAAATAGCGCCTGTAATAATTCACAGCCCCCAAAAAACTAATTAGTTCGTCCACATTCCTAGGTTCTGGAGCCATCAGCATACTCTCGACCTTGCTTTTCACGGGTTTGATCCCTTCAGCAGACACCACATGACCCAGATAGACAACTTCTTTTTGCATGAAAGAAGTTTTTTCGGTTTTACATTTAAAACCTCGCTGCTCCAACCTACTTATGACATTATTGAGGTTGATCAGATGGTCACTCTCATTTCGACCAGAAACTAATATATCGTCAATTCTGCAGCACGTCATAGGCACACCCCACAGAGTGTCATCCATACATGACTGGAATATAGCCGATGCACTGCTGATGCCATACGGCAAGCGATTCCATTGATACAACCCTTTGTGCGTATTCAGGGTGGTCAAGACACGGTCCTCATTTCTTATCAACAGGTTATTATAAGCCTTTTTGATGTCAATCTTAGAGAACGTTTGTCCCCCCTGCACAGCATTCAGACATTCCTCCACGGTAGGTAGAGGGTATTGTCGGGTGCTGATACATTTGTTCGATTTATAATCCCCACAAATGCGCACTGACTGCCCTCCATCCTTCTTCACAGGCACTATGGGTGTCCCCCATGGACTGTCTTCGACTTTGGTTAGAATCTTCGCTTCAACCATATCATTTAACTCACTTTCAACCTTGTTTCTCAAGGCATAGGGTAGACTACGGGCTTTCATCATAATAGGTTTGGAGTTGTCCTTCAGGACCAAACTTGCCTGTACACCCTTACCTAACTAGTCCTAAACCCGATTTAAACACCTCGCTCTGTTTTAACTGAGCGATACTACGACATTGATCAACCCGAGTACAGGTGTTTTCACATTTCCACCTGTTTTTCACGGTCGCACCATCGGTTAGCATGTCACCCTTATCGACACCACTCCCAGAGCAGCTTTCACAGCTCACTGACACCTGCTGGGATTTGTCTGGGGCTAAATTATGTACTAACTTTGTGCTGAGCAGCTTCTCTAGCCAATTCTGTCCACAGAACTTTACAATCCACGGTCTTCCAAACAAACTGGGGAAGTCCTCTGCTACATAGAGCTGCATTCCATGAGCTTTTTCACCGTTCAACTCTACATTAACTACAGCACAGCCGTCAACTGTTTTGATTTGTCCGTTTGCAACCCGTAATGTTTGCCTGCTGGGTGTAAGTGTTAAATTGGCCAAGCCACAAGATAATAATGTCCGTTTGCTCACAACAGACACTGCAGACCCTGAATCGAACTCCATAGACAGAAGTTTACCGTTGATTTCTACTTCTACATACGGTTTGCTTAACTCAATCATATTGACATTCGGTAACACATTATCAGAAACTAAACTTGAATCAGACTTATCAGTGGTAATAGTGGAATCGGGGTCACAAACAAGATAACTAAAATCAAAGGCATTAAACACCTTATCCCTCACATACATATTTGAAGATTTCGAATCAGTTAAATGAGTAAGTTTAGAGAAATCAGCACACAGATAAGAACATGTATTAGCATTACCTTTTTCAATCTCAACTGAATTACACTCATTGTCATGATCATACTCGGGGTAAAGCTCATTGTCCAAGACATTTTCACAATTCTCATCCATACCGAACTCATAACTCTCCGAACTCGACTCTCCTTGTTCAATGTTGTGAACAATGCTGTTTTGCTTGCAATTCTTGGAGATGTGTCCAATACGTTTGCAGATATGACACCGGACTTGACAATTTTCACCAATATGTCCACGAAGTCCGCACCGTCTACATTTAAGTCCCTTTTGCATTCCACTTTTCTGCTTTCCACCCGAACCACCTGAACTTTCCCCCTTCTTCCCATAGAGGTTTTTCATTGTTCTTTTGAATGTTGGTTTCACAAAGTTCACTGATCTCGATGACTCTCCCGGTGATAACGTGCTATTCATGAACTGAGCCTCCCTGTTTGCTTGCTCACGGCTTAACGCTTCCTTCACCGCGGTTGCCAGTGTTAAGTCATCCTTCGTTAACAACTCGGAAACAACCTTTTGATTCCTCAGCCCTGCGAGCAGCTGATCCAATATAGCCTCGTTGTAGTTGGCAAACTCACATTCATTTGCGATTGTTCTTAATCTGGAAACATAGGTCGCTGTGGTTTCTTCATCCTCTTGTACACAGCTTCTTAGCTTGTATCTTTGAGCAAACTTTGTTGGTGCAGGGGCCAAGTGATCTAAAATGAGTTTCTTACACTCCTCGTAACTGCAGTCTTCCATCTTTTTTACGGTCAGTGACTTCAACAGCTTGTAAATGTTCTCATCTGTCCTTGCAATAAAGCCTGCTAAATTCTTCTTTATAGCCATGTTTCTAGCCTCACGGTTAGAACCGTCATTAGCTAACTCCGGGACCTCTGCTGCCAGTCCTCCCGCCAATAACTCAAACTCATATCTTTCAAACCAGCTTTTTTGACAGCATGTGACGGTTAGTGGCTCTTTTGTCCTCGTCGCCATTTGTTGTAGCGTGAGCGTAGAAATAAAACAAGCTGTTAACACGTAATCATAGAGGCTGGGGAAGAACAAATCGTTAATAACAAATTATGATAGCAATCAATGTTCAATATATATAACAGGGGTTAGTTCTCATAATGAGTGATCACTGTCGTCAGATATATTAGAGCGGGACCTCCCCCAGGTTCCGGACGAAACGCGCACAGTATTTAGAGTATCAGCGCGCAATGCTGTGCGCGTTCATTCCCATATTGTTTTATCATTCGGCGATCGCGTTCAACGTGACTGGTGAGGAAGTGCTATGTTGTTTACCTAAATTCAAGCATGGTATCCATAGATAAGATTATCAGTCAGTAAGTGGGAATAATAGGCAAGTATCACTTCTCACTCAGAATTCAGTGAAATTTTTGTCACACCAATCAGTTCCATACCTGTTTTGAGCTCTTAGAAGTGACTGTTTAAGCAAATTCTTGACAGAGCTGCAAGGGGAGGTGAAATTCATCGGCCCAACTTTACGAAATTCGTTCCACAGCCATGCAGATTTGTACATAAATTGATTAGTTGGAGAGGGCGTGATTAACAAATTATCTTTCCTATTTGATAAGCCGAATAGGTAGTATAACGAAATTGGTACTCGTGACTTAATGATCTTAAACAATTCCATTAAACAACGGTATCTGTATAGGTTCTCTATAGCAAGTAGTTCGTGTTTTGTGAATAGAGGTTTGGTGGACTCTTTAACATAGAATTCAGATCCTAGACGTTGAGAATTAATTGGTCTTGCTCTAGCACATGTCTTGAACTTGTCTACATAGGCTTCAAAGTCTCCAAAGAGAATCCTGATACACTTCTTTTGAGTAATAAATAGCGGTTTCAACTGATTATTGGGAATACCTCCCCAGACAGAAATAGCATAACCTAGGTGTGATTCAAAGAGAGAATGATATATTTGCTTATATAGTGATTCTGGCAAGCATTTCTTAATACGGTAGATACGTCCACAAGCACTACTTAGTTTCTTATTGAGAGATAATATGTGTGGTTTCCAGCTCAGTTTATCATCAATGATTACTCCAAGAAATTTTGTCTGACTTACACGTTTAATTATTTTGTTATTTATGGACAAGTTTTGGCTATCTATATCTGCATTTAATTCGCTATTATCACGTTTAGAGGGAGAAAAGTACATATAACAACACTTCTTTATATTAATGTGCAGTAGGTTAACTCCCATATACTTGTTTACGGCCTGTAGTACTTCATTAGCCAATTCGTATGCTTTATTTTTCGAATCGGCAGCGACAAATATATTAGTATCGTCTGCAAATAAGACAAATTTACCCTTATTAGTTATATTGCAAATATCATTGATATACAGTAGGAAAAGTAGAGGTCCTAATACACTACCCTGAGGGACTCCAAATTCGACCGGTAATTCATCAGATTTGGTATCTAGAACATTTACAAATTGTTTCCTATTAGACAAGTAACTAGAGATAAGATTCAGAGCATTCCCTCTTATACCGTAGTTTTTTAATTTAGTAGTTAGTTTACAGTGATCTAGAGTGTCAAAGGCTTTTGAGAGATCGATGAAGACCCCTAGGACATGTTGCTTTTTACTAATTAACGATTCTATATGTTCTACAGAGTAGTTCAGTGCATGGCTGGTGGAGTGTCCTTTCCTAAAGCCGAACTGGTTTTCATGTATTATCCCCTTGGAAGTAAGGAAACTATAGAGCCTCTTATAAATTAACTTTTCTAGAATTTTCCCGAATACAGGTAGAGTTGATACTGGTCTATAGTTTTCTAATAGCTGTTCATCTTCTTTTTTGTAAATGGGGCTGATTCTCCCAGTCTTCAATTCATCGGGGAAGTGGCCTTCTTGCATGTATTTGTTAAAGTATCTAGCTAAGTACGGTGCAGTAATTTGGCATGACTTCTTGATCACATGAATAGGTATGTCACTGGATTTCCCGTTTTTTAGTTCGCTTATGGTCTCTTTAATCTCAGTACACTCAGAATCCCAAAGATAAATACTGGACGTAATTGATGTTGGCAGGTAGTCAGTAAATGAAGGCAGCGAATTTATTCTCAAATAGTCACCAGAGTATGCTTCGTTCAGGTTAGCTGCAATAGAGGCAAAGTATTTATTGAACTCATTTGCAATTATACGACGATTAATCACACGTTCATTATTTATCACGAAGTTCGGCTTGATCTCACGTCTTTTCTTACCACGTAGTTCGTTGATTATCTGCCAGGTTTTCTTACTATCTCCAGCGCATTCTGTAATCTTAACACCATGATACTTACGTTTTGCAGAATTGATAAGGTGGTTTAATAACTTCCGGTGTGCCTTAAATTCTTCATGACGTGTTACCTTATTTGTACAATTATAACAAAGAGTAAGACAGTCTGCATGGCTAGGTGAAGAGTTGCTGAGGCATTTCTTCTTAACTGCCTTTTTCCATAGGTCATAAAGCTCATGTTTTCTATTTATAGAGGCAATTAGGCCAGATGTAATCCATGGGTTGTTTTTAGCAGTACGTTTAGAACACTTAGGCTGGTCTAGTTTACATGCGTTGTCTAGTTGATGATTGAATAGAGTGAAAAAAGTACTGAAATCTTCTGGTGGATCACTTGTTAATTCATTGTCTAGTACTTCGACAAATTTGTTCACATTAGTTGCACAGTAGTCATAGTACTGGAAGTGCTTTTGTTCATGATCCTCAGCACTGACCAGGGGTGAGTTGAATATGTTAAATACAGCATGATGGTGACTGATGCAGGTACTAATCGTTCCAGAGCAGATAGAGTTTTCGATGTTGGTGGTGAGTATGTTGTCAATGCATGATTGGTTACATCCTGGTTTATGATGCGTAGACGTAGAAATAAGTGGTGATAAACCTAGGCCTAGAATAAGGTTTTCAAAGTCTTGAACGAGTTTACTGTTTTCATCATGGAGATTAATGTTGAAGTCTCCTAGTATGTAAACATTCTTTTTTGAGCATGATTCAATCATTTTTCTAAGTTCATTTAGTGCCTCTGAGGCGTTCCCACTAGGAGGACGGTACAGAACTCCTACATGTAGAGGTTCATCATGTTGAATGGTAATAAATAGGGTTTCAAGATTTTTGGTTACCCATGATAATTCTTCGTTTACAACTCCATTAAGTTCGTCCTTTAAGTACAATGCTACTCCACTTCCCTTTGCTTTATTGATATGTTTATCTTGGTAGAAACAATTGTATCCCTCTAGATGGTAAACAGTGCTTTCCTCTATTCCAATATTGGTTTCAGCAAGTCCAATAATTTAAAATTTTTCGGCTATTAGGTCTAGTTCCATGCTAAAGGCATCAAAATTTGTTTTATTGCCATCTATGTTCTGGAAAATCATGGAGCAGTTGCTTGCAAAACACGGTTTGATATGTGTGTTAAAGTCCTTAATTGTATAGGATCTACAGTTTTCCAAAACATCAGACATCTTTTGGAGACATGGGTCACAGTCATTAACTTCAGGATCGGTCATTACTTTAAAAGGATTATACATTTTTTAGATATAGAATGTTTACATTTGATGCAGTAAAAGTTGTCATTAATAACTTGTGCTTTGGAGGGATTAAAACATTTGGCATGGAAAATACTGTTGCAGTTAAAGCATTCAAAGTGGGGAAGCCCTAGACCAATATTCTTCAGACAGTGATAACAAATTTCCTTTTGAACACGATTAACCATACCTGTTAACCGTTCCTCCCCATCCGCTGCGGTCCATTAACTTTGCCGATGTGATGTCTTCTGTCTGCCCCACCATTTAACCTAGTAAATACAGATTGTTTAATGAGTCCAGCAAGGACTCTTGCCCCTGACTTGTTAAGATGAAGTGTATCAGGTCGACCATTTCTGTCAAATTGTTTTGAAAGTTCGTCCGCAAGAACACGGTTGCAGGCGAACTTCATAAAACCCTGAACACGCACAACATTAGGCTATCCACTCCGATAATCGTTACCGATAATTATCTCCGATAATTCGTTAAAAAGGGTTATCTGTTTATCTAGATAAAACATATTTTTATCGGTATAAAAATTCACTAGAAATTACCGAAAAAACTGCCACAATACCGTAAAATTTTGAAGAAATATTAATGTTTTTTTTAATCGTATGATAGAAGAGGTAGTTTACTTAAATGTGAGCTACACAAATGTTTATTTACATTTGTATACCTATGGAACTGTAGAACTGTAGAACTGTAGAACTGTAGAACTGTAGAAGTCTAGAGAAAGTTATTGACATTGTTATCTTGACTCTTGAGGCTAGGGTGCTGGCGTTCTACCTTATAACCATTCTGGAGACAGGAACGAGCATGTTACTGTTAAAGGATGAGGGGACCTTAGAATTTACTTCCAAATATTCGCGTTTAAGTCCAGTGAAAGTGTGTAGAATCAAAAAATACGCCGGACTGTGAAATCGATAATTCGTGCAATATCACGCCGCGCTCCTATTGGCTGATAGAAATTTTGGGCTGTGACGTCACTTATGTGTTAAGACCAACGTGCGCGCGTACCCTTTGCTCGTGTCAACATTTTGTTCTGTTCTGTTTTAATTACGTCGTGTTACCTTTGGCGTTTGCGAGAGCGGTATCTTTGGTTGCACTGAATTAGTCTAAGTTACGAATAATTCTCTTTAATAATAATAGTTAAATGTAACTCAGAAAGGCTTTCTTGTAGTTGTAGTAGGTATTTCTATTTATAAATAGCTAAGATAAGTAGCATCCGCTAACTAAACCACAAACTGCTATTTTGTTTTGACTTGTTTGAAACCCGATATGGACACAATTAAAAAGAATGTATGATGTAGTAGAAGACATTTTACTAGCTGGCCCTTGGCGCCTCTAGTCCTATCTGAGTACGCACGTGCGGTTTGACACTGCGCGTGTACCGGCCTTTAGTTGTACACTCATTTATAATTTACCGTTTTGGTTTGCTGTGACTTGAGTGTAAAGCGTAACGAATGTGGATGTGTTCGTCTGCTATGCTTGGTATAATATTGCTTGGTGTAATAGTTGCAAATCTTGCTTACGTTATAAGTAGTGTCACATAGTGAGTTAGAACTTAAAAGCTTGGTGCTTGGTGCTTGTCCAACTGGAATGAAGACATGCATTTCATACCTACCCGATCCATTTTTATTAGGACCGTGTTGTGTTGATATGACATGTTGATATATCAACTGTGGTACGAAACAGGGAGTTGCTAGGTGTTACGTTGGGAGCTATAAATATACATAATTTACATGCCTTTCTGTGTGACTTCAATCTTATTCCAGGTGTATCTCGGCTCATGGTTATCGTAGGGTGATAATTCTTTTTTCAACCGGTCATAAAAAGTCTCCTCTCCATTGGTTATAGGCTCGTTAGTATCGTAAATTGTTAATTTATTCTTAATTAGTAATTTAGTCGGCCCGCACGCTCATTTTACCTGTATTTCTATATGCGCGGATCAGAGCAACTCACATAATTGACGTCACAGGTTCAAATTGTTTTGGCTGGATATCTCGGCGCGCGAATGAAATACAACTTTGCGGATTTCACTAAAGTGGTTTATACGATTAATGTAATAAAAGGATTTGCACGAGAAAAAAACTTTTTCTAAGGTCCCCTCATCCTTTAACAAGAGTCAAAAATACCGGCAGGGCACTCAATTAAATTCCGTAAGTGTTCTAGGCGTGAAACATTGTCTTCAGGAGAAGGAATCTGTTGCTCCAAGTTATCCACAGGATAAGGAAACGGTTCACTGAATCACTTTAACTGTTTGCACTACTGTTCTCAGGAGAAGGAAACCGGTGGTCTACTGTTTTGAAGAGAACTGGTGCACTACTGTTCTCAGGAGAAGGAAACCGTTGGTCTACTGTTTTGAAGAGAACTAGTGCGGTACTACTTACTGTTCTCAGGAGAAGGAAACCCTTGGTCTACTGTTTTGTAGAGAACTGGTACACTACTGTTTTTAGGAGAAGGAAACCGGTGATCTACTGTTTTGAAGAGAACTGGTACACTACTGTTCTTAGGAGAAGACAAACCGTTGGTCTACTGTTTTGAAGAGAACTGGTACACTATTGTTCCCCGGAGAAGAAAACTGATGCTCTAATATTTTCAAAAGAAAGGAAGTTGTACTTTAGCAAGATTGCTGGTAAACAGTAATAAAAGTCGACAATCAGTTTTTGTGAAATTTGGAAAACATTTTGGCTTTGGCCTTCAGCAGAAAAATTATCGGTTTTATCGGTTTTATCTAGATAAAACCTAAATTTTTATCTGTTTATCTAGATAAAAGATTTCATACCGATAATGGATAGCCTACACAACATCCTTACATGTAGGGAGCAGGTCAAAATGAATAAGTCTATTAAATGAATCAACTTTAAAATTCAGCTGTAAGTCCCTAGTGGGAAGCAGCTGACAAACAAATACAGCTCTAGTGCTAGGGCTAAGCTTCTTAATTTGTTTTATTATGATTAATATTATATTTTTACCTATAGTTTACCTAGATTAAATTAACGATTGTGCATCTTTGCCTTAGACTGAGGTGAAACAAGAATAGTTGACCATTTATATATTAGAATTGAACTTAGGGTTTTATTTTTTACCTCAGTTTTAAAAATATGTTCCATTTTTATAGCATTAAATCTATTGTATTGGTTTATATATTTTTCGCGGGTGTCTATCCTTATAGCTAGACAATTACCATTGCTGAAATTATCTGTATACTGTTCGAAGCATTTTATTACTATTTTAAGATCTGGTGGATACTTGATCCCGAAATTTAATCAGTGATCTCCTCACTCAATCCACCGTCTGACTGGTTCGAGACTGCTGTTGGTTTTAAGCACTTAATCTGACACATTTTTGACAAATTTTGGCATTTTAGGGGGATCTATAAGGGGGTTTCTGGGAGGCAGCGATTAATTCTGACAGTTTCAGATGGTTATCTATTAAGCACATTTGTCAGGAAACGGCAAATATCATGAGAATATGTTTCAGCTGCATACTGAAGGGACTTATGAAATTATATATAGTGCCTATGTAATTTAGAAAATGTAAAACCTATACTCAGCAAAGTTAAGTTTGAACAAAAATTAACTGAATTATCAGGTAGGGGCTGGTAACTTATGTATAAAAAAAGATATCAGTAACACTGTCAGAAGAAATATTGTCCTTTATAGAGAAAATTGACAAAGTGGCCTAATCTTAACATCAGTAGGATGAGGAGTATCAGGACGGTATGTTTGATCTCCATGCTGCTATTACCAGTCTTGTCCTCCTACGGAGACCAGACTCATGAATACCGCGACTGCACAACTCTGAGGATGAGGACATGCGAGTACGCCAACCTTGATACAACTCTAAAGGTACTGCAGTGTGAAATACTTTACATTTATGTTTGTCTTGAGAAAAGATCCTCATCTGGTTATTTGATTGGAATACACTTTATTAACATTGATATTAATCTCTTAATATTACGGACCAAAAGACAATCTCACATCATTAAATATACTTTACACCAGATTTTTGGATGGGACTGTTTGAGTGATAGTCAATACATGTGTGCATTGGAGATGACGGAGAAGAGGATTGCCCTGGGAAAACCCATCCTCCAATACAATGGCCGGGTATTTTGAAAGACACTTCTCTTGATTATAGATTGAATATCTCAAACTTGGGTTATATCATTACCAAGGCAACTTAGTAATATGTAACAGATGAATTTAAAGGTTTAATTCGTAAGAAATGAATGTCACAAATAATAATCGTTCAGTGGGCGTTCAGAAGGTATATTGGCCTACAAGAGCCAGCCTCAGTTTTCTTCTCCTTCTGTAATGGCTTTGCTGTTTTCCTGGGTATCTCCAACCTAGTCGCCAAGGTTCCTGTCACCTACAACCTCTTCC